CGCGTCGGCGAGCGGGCCCCTGTCCTCTCCAAGGCCCCCAGACCGGCGCGCTGCGAGTATCCAGCCCCCAGATCGTAACCATTTCTGGAGCAGTTACTCACCAGGTGCTGGGCCCTGTGCTGAGTAGGTTCCAAATCGCCGGCCTCGGGCATTTTTGACCGTGGCCCAGAGCAGTGGTTCGCGGGCTGTAGCAGGCATCACCGCCACCTGGGTGATCCCTAAAACACAGACCACCCGGCCCCAGCCCCAGAGTTTCTGATTCACTAGGTCTGGACTGGGACCTGAGAATATGCATCTCCAATGAGTGTCCAGATGAGGCTGATGCTGTTGGTCAGGTATCACACTTTGAGCGCCTTTGACCTAGATTAGGAAGTAAAATTTAACTAAGAAATTAGTGTTTATGACCACAAAAGGACACGTGTGAGAACATTCAGAGTAGCTTTATTTATAATTGTGCCAAACTGGAAAGAATCCAAACGCACCAGAGGCAGGGGTGGATTTTTAAAACTGTGGTATATCCATACAATGGAATACTACACAGCTGTGAAAAAGAACAGAGTGCTGATACCCGAGATTCAAGAATGCGCAGAATAATCATTCCTGATAGGAGACAGATTGATGTTAACCCCATGTTGGGGACAGTGAGAGGGAGCAGGAAGGAAATGTATTGTGGTTACATGGGTATGTACATATGACAGAAATCATCACGCATAAACTCAAGATTAATGCATGTTATTCTGTGTACATTATACCTTCATTTTACAAAATTATATTTCAAGAAATTATTTACCTAACTCAACATGATGCCCAGTCGTCCATACTTCCTATTTTATACGTTTTTAAATTCTTGTTGCAACTCACTAAATGTCATACTCAGTAGTGGGTCTCCAGCCACAGTTTAAAAAAAAAAAATCTGCCCTAAATGGGCTCTCTCATTTAATCTTCATATACTATTATACCCATTTTACAGAAATGGAGGTAAATTAAGTAAATTTTTGCCACAGAACAGGTGTAAATAATTTACTTAAGGACTTAGAGCAAGTAGGAGGTGGAGGCAGGATTCGAGCTTAGAGATGCTGGTTTTAACCACACTAGATCAAAATAGACTTTTGGCCTTATTTGTTGTACTAGCATTTGTTGAGCAACTGCACTGTGCGGGCTCTGGGGCCATGGAAGTAAATCAGGCAAGGTCCCTGCCTTCTCGAGGCTCACATCTACCGGGCAGGGAAGACACACAGCCCTGCAGGGCTTGAATACAAGATTGCAGACTGAGGGGCGAGCCGTGAAAGCCCAGCAGGGCCAGGGCCGCTGAACTTCACAGGGAAGAGACAAGGTTTTGGTAGCTTTGCTTGTACACCGGTATTTCCCCTGCTCACGTTAGTCATGGTGACCGTTATGTTTGTACATAAGGCTCTACTTTTGCATCCATCCTAGGAGATGGTTGAATATCATGGTGAGTAGCCTGGCTTGTGAGGCTGGAGAGCAGCTAAATGACTCTCCCGGCATTGCTCAGCTCTCATCCTCGGCTCTCTTCCCGGCACCTTCAACTCCAGCTCCAGGGATTGGAGGAGGCCCCAGCGTGGGCCACGAGCAGTGTGGTCTGCCCAGAGGCCTGTGATTTCCCGTGTGGGGCACAGCGGACAAGCGTCACTAGTCAGCAGATGAGATGGCACATTTTCATCCCAAACCACAGCCTTAAAAATGGGGGGTAGGAGGGCAGAGAAAATGAGTGTTTCGTGCCATTAGTTCATACAAATAGGCCTTGTTTTTTTAAAATTTTTATTATTTTTAATTGTGGTAAAGTACACATAAAATTTACACTCTTGACCTTTCTTAAATTCAGTGGCGTTAAGTACATTCACACAGTTGTGCAACTGTCACCACCATCCTGTCCAGGACTCTCTTCATCTTGCAAAACCGAAACCCTGTACCCTTTAAATAGCACCTCCCCAAGCCTCCCTGCCCCCAGCCTTTGGTAACTACTGTTCTTCTTTCTATCTCTATGAATTTTCCTATTTTAGGTCCTTCCTGTAAATAGACTCATGTAATGTTTGTCCTTCTGTGACTGGCTTCTTTCGCTTAGTACAATGTTCTTAAGGTTCCTCCACGTTGTAGCACATGTCAGAATTTCCTTACTTTTTGTTTTTAATCTTCACCCGAGGACGTGCTTAGAGAGAGAGGGAAACATCGACTTGTTATTTATGCATTCCTTGGTCGATGCTCCTATTTGCCCTGGGGAATTTTTTAAAAATATATCTTTATTGATTTCAGAGAGAGGAAAAGAGAGGGAGAGAGAGACAGAGAAACATCAATGATGAGAGAGTCATTGATCGGCCGCCTCCTGCACGTCCCCTGCTGGGGATCGAGCCCCCAACCCGTACAGGTGCCCTGACGGGGAATCGAACCCCAACCTCTTGGTTCATGGGTTGATGCTCAGCCAATTAGCCACAGCGGCCGAGCCCGACCAGGAATTGAACCTGCAATCTTGGAGCAGGGAGGAGATGAGAAGACGCTCTAACCAACTGAGCTACCCCACTGGGCTTCAGTTCTCCTTTCCTTTGACGTGTTAATATCCATTCCTCTTATTATTCATTTTGATGCTCAAATTGTTCTCAGTTTGGCCACTAGGAGCTCCTCCTGACCTTGTCATTTTGACAGTCTCCACCCCTTACATGGAAACGTTCCAGGGTCCTCTTGGACCTTCCCTGCCCCAGCCCTGGAAGCAGCCACTTCCCCAGGGGCCCTGGCGCTCTTTTGGAGAATGGTACTTCTGCGTCTTTACCACCAGCCAGACCCTCCCAACAGGCCGAGCCTTGTCTCCTCAGGCCCCTGGGAGCAACCAAACAAGAGAACGTTCCTTCCTGGGCCGGACGGTCCCTCCTCTTGAGGGAAACTGCATATGTGACGCCTTTCCTTACAGGGAAACCTGGGGCCGGACAAGATGGTGGTTGACCTGACAGATCCCAACCGACCGCGCTTCACTCTCCAGGAGCTGAGGGACGTGCTCCAGGAGCGCAACAAGCTCAAGTCGCAGCTGCTGCTGGCGCAGGAGGAGCTGCAGTGCTACAAGAGGTGGGCTCTCTCCCCCGGCCGCCCGAGCTCCTGCACGTGTTCTGTGTTCGCTCCGATGTATCAGTGACTCTCTCATCATCGATGTTTCTCTCTCTCTTTCCCTCTCCCTTCCTCTCTCTGAAATCAGTTAAATAATGAGAGCCCACTCTTTGCAAAAAAGGGGAGAGAGGAGTGAATTCTGCTTTCTGTAGCTCCTATGTAAAGGGGTGTCTCAGCTCAGGCGGCCATAGCAAAATATCACAGACTCGGGGCTTAAACAATAGAAATGTGTTTTCTCGCAGTATCAGAGGCTACGAGTCCAAGATCCAGGTGCCAGCAGGGTTGGTGCTGACGCTTCCTGGCTGATAGGCAGCTTCCTTCCGGCCGTGTCCTCACATGGCCTGGGAGGGGGAGAGCAAGCCCTCTCATGTCTCTTCTTAAAATTGATTGGCCCACTTAGCTGGGAAGGATCCTGGAGTTGCTCTCAGAAATGAAGAAAAAACTGCAACTAAGGCCTCAGGGGCAGGCACAAGGGACTCAGTGCCTGTTTCTCTCCTCTTTGCTTTCTTTGTTCTCACTATCTCGGATTACGGACAGTCCTGTTCTGAATCTTGGGAAATATGACTGCTGGCAGCCCCAGATGCACCAGTGAGAGAGAACAGCCTTCTTCCAGCTTCTGTGCATCCAGTCCAGGTCACCTGACCTCAGTATCTTGTCAATATCAACCTAGCTCTTCTCACCACCTGACTTGTATATATTTTAATTTTTTCCCCCACTGGAATGTAACTTGCATGAGCGAAGATATTTTCTCTGTTTTGCCCACTGCTGCATCTGTAGCACCGTGGTACAGTATGTCGCTTAGTAATAAATATCTGTTGGGTGAATAAGTGTCATGTATTATCGTCTCACTGAACCCCTCAATCCTGGGAGGCAGGAGCTCCTATTATCTTAGTTTCACCACTTAGGAAATCAAGGCCTCAGTTAGGGGATTTATACAAGGTCGTATTCCTACAGCATGGAGAAGCTTGAACTATTAGCCAATGCAGTCAGACAAGAGAAAGAGAAAGAAAGAAAGAGAGAGAGAGAGAGAGAGAGAGAGAGAGAGAGAGAGAGAAAGAAGAAAGAAAGAAAAGAAAGAAAGAAAGAAAGAAAGAAAGAGAAAGAAAGAAAGAAAGAAAGAAAGAAAGAAAAGAAAGAAAGAAAAAAAGAAAGA